ACTTTCAAAATGATTGTATGGTGATTGTACTTTGCAAAAAAATTTATAGATATTTTTACATTTTTATCGTTGCAAAAAAAACATTTTTTATTTAATAATATTATGTTCTTTTATTACGGTTAATATGATAAAATAACTCAATTTTTTTCACTACTTTTTCATTTAACTAAGCATAAATTTTTTATGGAACTTTTAATTTTAGTGTGAATTCAACTCAAAATTTTTTATTCTCTTGCTTTCAATTCTTTTTCATTTATTTCTATTTAGGAAAATGACAGATAAAGAATGTGGAATATATGATATTCTAGTTTGGAAAGTTAAGGAAGTGTAATGACAGAGAGGAAAGTCCTCTCTAAATTAGAATTTTGAAATTTAGTGAAATGACAAAAATATTCTTCATTATTATTATTTTGCAAAAAGCTTAGTCGTCACTGGTGGCCGGCCACCGATGTGATGGCTGCTGGAGGAGTATTTTTGGTCATAGCTTTTTTTTTTTACCGTGTGAGACTATTGCAAGAAAATGGTGCGGGTAGGATTTAATCCCACTACCCTTTAGTCATTTGAGCCAACAAAAAGGAAGATGACCATTAGGCCATCAAAAATTTGTTAACCTTATAATGCAAACAAAAATATAAGTTGACTCTTTTACTGTGATTTCAGTCTATGACAATAATTTATCTAGGAATGATAAGTTTTAATTGAGAAATAATAAATCTAAATTTGATATTAACAAAACAATTTTTCCTGATACATAATGAGAAATATCATGTACATTAATTAAAAATGACAATAATTTATTTGAAAATGACATATATTTACTAGAAAATAACACGTCTAAACTTGAAATTAACAACATTTCTTTTCCTGATATATAATATGAAATAACATGCGCATTAAATAAAAATGACAACAATTTATGTGGTAATGACATGTCTTAATTGAGAAATAACAAATTTAAATTTGATATTAACAATGTGTCTTTTCCTAATAAATAACATGAAATAGCATGTACATTTCCAAATAAATCGTTATCATTTTTCACTAAAGACGTGTTATTTTCTAGTAAAAACATGCCATTTTCAAATAAATTATTGTCATTTTTAATTAATATACATGTTATTTTTTTGTTATATATCAGAAAATGTTGTTTTATTAATATCAAATTTAGATTTGTTATTTCTCAATTAAGACTTGTTATTCCTAGATAAATTGTTGTCACATGCTGAAGTCATAGTAAAAGAGTCAACTTATATTTTTGTTTGTATTATAAGTTTAACAAGTTTTTGATAGCCTAATGGTTATTTTCCTTTATGTTGGCCCAAGTGACCAACAGGTAGTTGGATTAAATTCCACTCCCACTACTTTCTTATAATATTCTCAAATGGTCAAAAAAAAAAAGCTATGACTGAAAAACACTCCACTGCAGCCACCACATCGGTGGTTGGCCATGGGTAAGGACTGAGTTTTTTTTTCCCCAAAAAAAGAAGACAAAAGACATTTTTGTTATTTCACTTAATTTTAAAATTTGTCCCTTCGGGACATCCAATAAAATTAGAATTTAATTTTAAAATCTCAATTTGGGAAGGACTTCCCTTTTTGCCATTATATTTTCTTAACTTTTCAAATTGAAATACCATATATTTTAGGGAAAAAGACAAAAAAAATGAAATATTAATTTCATAATGCCCAAAACATATGCTCAATTTAAGAAATCTCATTTTGGTCTCAAGAGACTAAATTGGGATTATCATGTTAAATAAAAAGACCAAATTACCCTTCAATTTATTTATTGTTTTTAAAATACCAAATCCCTTATTGGTCGACTGGTCACCGGAGCTTCAGCGACTAGCCAACAATTGTTCACTGGAGCTCCGTTGGTCGGAAAATTTTTTTTTGAAAATTTTCACAACTTCAGTATAACAATTAACAATTTTTGTAATGCTATTAACAATTTCAGTGTAACAATTAACAACAAGATTTCTGGGAAATTCAACAAGGTCCGGTGGCTGGAAAAGTTTTTTTTAAAAAAATTTTCACAATTTCAGTATAACGGTTAACAATTTTTATGACGTTATTAACAACTTCAGTATAGTAGTTAACAACAGGTTTTCTGGGAAATTCAACAAGCTCCAGCGGCTGGAAATTTTTTTTTTTGAATATTTTCACAACTTTAGTATAACGGTTAACAACTTTTATGAGGCTATTAACAACTTCAGTATAGCAGTTAACAACAGGTTTACTGGGAAATTCAACAAGCTTCGGTGGCTGGAAAATTTTTTTTGAAAATTTTCACAATTTCAGTATAACAGTTAACAACTTTTATGACACTATTAACAACTTCAGTATAGTAGTTAACAACAGGTTTACTAGGAAATTCAATAAGTTTCGGTGGCCGGAAACAATTTTTTTTGAAAACTTTTACAATTTCAATATAACAGTTAACAACTTCTGTGATGTTATTAATAATTTCAGTATAGCAGTTAACAACAGGTTTTTCGGGAAATTCAACAATTGGTCGCCAAAGCTCTGAAGGCCAGAAACAATTTTTTTGAAAATTTTTACAATGTCAGTATAATGGTTAACAACTTTTGTAACGTTATTAACAGTATGTTTTTTGAGAAATTCAAAAAATAACATTTTTACAACTTCAATAATGCTATTAGCAAGTTCCGTAACTCTATTAACAACTTCGGTGTAGTATTTAAGAACATGTTTTCTTAAAAATAAAAAAAGGCATTTTTACAATTTTAGCAACTACTTTTTTAACAACTTTAATATAACGGTTAACAACTTTTGTAATGTTATTAACAACTTCAATATAGCAGTTAACAATAAATTTTCTGAAAAAATTCAAAAAGTAGCATTTTTACAACTTCAGTAATGTCGTTAAAAAGTTTTGTAACTCTATTAACAACTTCGGTATAGTATTTAACAATAGGTTTTGTTAAAAATTCAAAAAAATGGCATTTTTATAACTTTAACAACTACTTCTTTTTGAAAATTTTTCCAACTTCAGTATAACGGTTAACAACTTTTGTAACTCTATTAACAACTTCAGTATAATAGTTAACAACAGGTTTTTCAGCAAATTCAAAAAGGAACATTTTTACAACTTCAGTAATGCCGTTAACAAACTCAAAAACCTGTTGTTAACCGCTATAATGAAGTTGTTAATAGCGTTACAAAAGTTGTTCACTGTTATACTGATGTTGTAAAAATTTTCAAAAAAATTGTTTTTGGCCTCCAGAGCTCCAGCGACCAATTATTAAATTTCCCGAAAAACCTGTTGTTCACTGTTATATTGAAGTTGTTAATAACGTCACAAAAATTATTTACCATTATACTGAAGTTGTAAAAATTTTCAAAAACATTATTTCCGACCAGTAAAACTGTTGTTAATTGCTATACTGAAGTTGTTAATAACGTCACAAAAGTTGTTAATCGTTATACTGAAGTTGTGAAAATTTTCAAAAAAAATTTTTTCCAACTGCCGGAACTTGTTGAATTTCCCAAAAAATTTGTTGTTAACTGTTATACTGAAATTGTTAATAGTATCACAAAAGTTGTTAACCGTTATACTAAAGTTGTGAAAATTAAAAATTTTTTTCCAACCACCGGACCTTGTTAAATTTTCTAGAAAACCTGTTGTTAACTACTATATTGAAATTGTTAATAACGTTACAAAAGTTGTTAACTATTATACTGAAGTTGTGAAAATTTTCAAAAATTTTTTTTTGACTGACAGAGCTTCGGTGAACAATTGTCAGCCGGTCGTCGAAGCTCCGGTGACTACCGCTGTCGGAGCTTTGGTAACCAACCGGCCAATAGAGGATTTGATATTTTAAAAACAATAAATAAATTAAAGGGTAATTTGGTCTTTTTATTTAATATGATAATTTCAATTTGGTCTCTTGAGACCAAAATGAAATTTCTTAAATTGAACAGATGTTTTGGCAATTATAAAATTATTATTGTATTTTTCTGTCTTTTTCTTTATATTTTACCTTCTTTGTCCGTCATTTTCCTTTTCTATTTCAATCAATCGGGCCGTTAGGAAGAATAGACACCACTTGTAGGGGTGTGCATGAGGCCCGCATGCCCAATAAGCCCGCCCGAGCCCGCAAGAAAAATGCCCAGCCCAACCCAGTAAAAAGCTGCCCAAGCAAAAATGGGCATCTTCGGGCCGGGCTGATTCACGGGCAGGGCAGGGCCGCGGGCAGGGTATGCTGCCTTGCCCATTTGGCCCTGCCCGAAAAAATATATAATTATATATATAAGATAATATTATTTCAAGCAATTATCTCTTTTATTTTAGCTAAAAAAAATAGGTAAAATTAGAAAAAATGAAAGGAACATAAAAATTATAATTATATAAAAGAGCTAAATATCAAAATATAAGATTCAATATGCTAAATTACTCCAAGTCAAATGTTCTTCTTTTTCTCTTGCATCCAATTTTTTAAAACAAAAAAAAAAACCACCTTTCAAATTTTGTGCTTTCACATGATTATAAGAATCCACCAACTATATGGATAAACTAAGAAATTGAAATACTGATTTAGCTTAATTATTAAATATATTTTTTTTACCTCCCATAAGAAATCAAAAGCTAAAGAATAAGACTACATAGGCCTTATATATATATATATATATGAGTGATAGACTCATTCGTGATAATTTTTTTCCTCTCATTTGTCTCAAAACATGATAATTGATTTTTTTTTTACATATGACATAGGGCATTGTGTCATTACGCTGGGCAGAAAAGCCCGCCCTGCCCAGCCCGCCCTTGCCCTGCCCAAAATGGTTAGGGCTTTTATTGGGCAGGGCCGGGCAACGGGCTACAAAACGCAACCCGCTCATCTTTCAGGCTGGGCATCGGACAAGGGGCTTGCCTGTCCAGCCCTATCCATGTGCAGCCCTAACCACTTGTAAGCTGAAATGCCTTCAAAACCTTCTGTAGAATCAGGATCATCACCATAATCCTCGCCTCGCTCTTTCTCATCCGCCTTCGTTCATTCCCACCGACAAGTTCTCGACGTCACATTACGCATTAAAGATTCTCTATACGACCTACGAGAATCATTCACAGTATCCTCTTTTATCCACTCTTCCTGTCTCACCTTCCTTGCTTCCTCACCAGTAAAACTCTGACCCTCCAAGCGAACCTTCTTCTTCCTCATATTCGAACCCCACCACCCCCGTCCTCCATCCCCCAAACACCAGAATCCTCATTAATTCCCCTTGGCAAAGCACGAAGAACGGAATCCCTCTTTTCCTCCGCTGCAGTGGGCCACGGAGATCTTACAGAGCCGCCTAAGCAGAAGACGGCAATCGTCCAAACGAAACCCTAGCAGAGCGTCGGAGAAGTTTTCCTCCAGCTCTAACTTTGTACTTTAATAGGATATTGCGATAATGGAGATATGCATCGTTCTGTTGCTGAGATTGGCTTGGATTGCCGGGACAGTTCCCATAATCATTGCTTCTATTCCCACGTCTAAGCTGAATTGGTTTCGTGGAGCCTTGTTAGGGTTCGCTAAGAGGGGGAAGATCATGCAGTCATCCTCACAAGTAAGGGAGTAAATTATAATTTGGGCATATATTTGTTCAAAATTTTCAATTAAATATGTATGGTTTTGGTGCCACCGTATGCTTTTCTTTGAGAGAATGCTAAAAAAGTTACCGAAAGTCTTGAACATAAGACAAAACAAAGTGTGTTTTCCCCACTTCATGATAACATTGTTAGGCTTGTTTGAATAATAGCTTAAGGTTTTACTAGGGAGCTTCAGAAAGAATGTATTGAGTGGCCATCGTATGAGGGGTCTCTGTGTGGGAGCTAAATATTAAAAACACTCGTGGCTATTGATTGGGGATTCATGCCACACTGCACTGCATTAACTACCAAGACAACAATTTCTTTCTTTTTGTTTTTTGTTTTTTTGTTTTTGTTTTTTTTGGGGGGGGGGGTTGTGGCTGGGGCCGGGGTGGGATCTCATCCAACCTTGGGGTTCTTTGGATTAGCTTCTTAGAAGTGATTTTAGTGTATAAGAGACGAGTTTTGTCTCAGTTTTTGTCAAAGTACTTTTTTAAAGTGATTGTAGCGGGTTGCCAAACTCCCCCTTTTTCTCATCCTAAAAATGACTGGGAGAAAAATTACCCCGTCATGCTGATAGTTTATGAAGTATAGACCCTTCAAAGGATGTGTGGTGTCCTTATCCAAGGCAAGTTGAACGCTTTATTACACCACACATAATATTTCGAATTACCATGAGGCTTTTTCAATATTTCATGTTTTATTGTGTGTCACTATCCATGCTTCTCTGGGTACGTTTTGAAAGAGTTTATATTCTACATAATTTTGGTAATACATGCTTTTGTATATTTGGATAAACAACCTTAAGTAACGCAGCAGTATCCTCCATGTTACATCTTTTTCCTAACAAGAAGTGTAACTGTGAATTTACGACTCATATGTCGATAGCAAAAAAGAAAATGGAAATTTAAAATTTATCCCCTAATACAATATTCCATTGCAGAAATTCACTGTTCCTCAAAGATTATTCTTGCACTTCTATATTGTGGCTTCGGTGTGGACAACATTCTTGCTTGTTTCAACTTCGATGTACGCATATACCATGGCACTATCAATTGCAGATCCCTATGCTGTCTCAACCATTACCAGCTACCTGACTGGAACTTCAAGTATAAAGTCTGATTCAAGTAAAATAGAATCCATATATGTAGCCTGGCTATCTGTTTTTCTGCTTTTGCTAATGGAGGTCCAAGTTCTAAGACGCCTTCATGAAACGATATGTGTATTCAATTATAGGCCTGCAGCTCGCATGCATATCGTGGGTTATTTCACTGGTTTGTTGTAAGTTTCTTCATGGTCCTTTTATTCTGCTTGACTTTCTAAGCCTCCATTTCATTTTTTTAAAATTATTAATTACGGCAATTTTGAGGTTTACTTTTCTGTGAACATTGCATTTCTGGTTGTGAAGTTTCCCCAGTTGTTTTGCTAATTTTTAAGTCCTTGACTGCTTTCATAATTTTTTTTTAAGTAAAACTGAGTGATATTTTGTTAGCTTATACCATGTCTAACAGTAATGTGCGGTTTCTGAAGTTAAATGTCTGTCTTATTTGATACATATCTATAGTTATGTGGTATATTGAAAAATATTTAGAAATTGTTAATGTTCATTGAGTCTACTGATTTGAATTCATAATAAAGCATCTCATAAACGTGTCAAAATGAATGATGACTATAGTTATGCAGTGGATTAAAAAATAGCCAGATGTTGATAAAGGTTGCTGGACATACTTATTTGAATTCATAATAAAACACTCAAATATATATCAAACTTATCTGAATGATACCTTGTTCGGCATTTTCATTGTAAATATTATATAACGTCTTTTTCTCTCTCAATGATAAGTTTCTCCTTTTAGATAGTTATGCTTATGATGGATCGACTTTGAGACATGACATATGACAACATAATATTCCTAGGATTTGTATTTGAATGCCAATGATATGTAATAGATGTCTTTACTAGATTATTCAAATATGAGATCAACCCTGATGCATTGATATCTGTTGTTAAATTTAATTATTTATTTTATTTCTCTTTATTTTATTTTGTGAAGCCTGTTATGATTATTATGTATTTTGTTTTTAGGATATTCAGCTTTACAGAATCTCCTTTATAGATATCTCATAAGCTAATACTCCTCCGGTCTTTAATATGAGATCTATTTAACTAATTTGATTAGATTAAAGAAGTTAGGTAAGTTAGTGAATTATAAAAAAATATGACATGCTTTTCTTAAAACACCATAATCATCTTTCTTAATATGCTTCCTTCTTTTTCTACTTCATTATGGTTGAGGGAGTACCTATAGGGGTAATTTAGGAAAAATTGATAAATATGAGAAATAGGTATTATATTTAGGATCAAAATTAACTCAACAATTATGTCTTATATTAAAGACCGGAGGAGTATATCTATAGGTTCTTTTCTGTTAAGCTTCAAATATGAATAAAAGAATCAAGTTGAATGCATGTGATTTGTTTGAGTAGTGAGTAACATGCATTGGTGTCTTTATCTCTTATTGATGCTGTCTCGAAAGGAATTGGAGGTATCCAACTTCATATAAACTTCTATCTGCGAATGTGAATTTTACCAGTCAATTTCAGGCTCTGGTGGGTGCAATTTCAATTCCTTATATGCTATTTGATAAAATGTCATTTGTGAAGCACTTGCTGCCTGTCCCATGGTTATGTTTCTAAGTTAATAGTTATTTTGTGCTTAGAAAATTGTAAAATAGAGATTGTTGATTTTGCAACTTTTCTGAAGCTAGTTTCTACATAGCAGCCCCACTATCACTTTGTTGTGATTGTGCATTAGAGGTGCGTGACTTCACAGCAAAGTTAGTAATTGCATTCATTGTCAAAGACAAAGTTCACATGCCAGAAACTGAATTAGATTACTCGCTAATTTTAAATCATCTCTTCAAACTTGGATGGCTGCCATGGTTTGGTGCGACTATATTTTTATGGGGCTGGATTCATCAATACCGGTGCCACACAATTCTTGTATGTCTCATTCTCCTTGATTAGGTTTTTAATTTTGGGCTTGTGAATTGCTGTAATTGAATGGCATGACCAATCATTTCAATACCTTATAAATTGATTTGGGTTCTTTGTTAACGGGCGTCGCTTCTATTTCACTGATATCTCTGTACTCCTGGTACAAGTTGCAGTAGACAATGAAATCAGTCAAGGAAATTAAAGTTTTGAGCAGTATTCTTAGTATGTACTTTGTAACATACAAGGAGATGAAATTGAGTGCAAAGGATGCACATTATTAGATAGTTCCTAAGCTTATAGCTATGCAACTTAAGACTTATATGTGCACAGGATTGAGTTATATATTTTGTTAGGACTTCCTGTATGTGGAATTCTTTTCTTGAAGATTCCTTTTGTTGCTTGAGTTGTTTTTCCATTCAATATATAATTTTATTAACTTTGAAGGGCTTGAAATTTTGTCAGGGCTTGTTACGAAAACGTTCAAAACAAATAGAAGAATATGTAATCCCTCATGGTGATTGGTTTGAACTTGTTTCGTCGGCACACTATCTTTCTGAAATTGTAACTCTCTATCTCTAGTCTTTTGTCCCTTTTTGCGTGTCAGATACTGATTAAATTGATAATGATGTAGGTTATATACGCTGGTCTTCTTGTTGCAAGTGGAGGAGTCAACCTTACGATATGGCTGCTTTTTGTTTTTGTGGTAATATTTTCTTTATAGTTATCGCGAGACTCAATATTTTGAACAAATGATTCTCTGATTCTAATTTGCTTATTTTGCGTGCGTGCGTGCGTGCGTTTTAACTTCTTGGTTGAAATTCAGGTGGCAAACTTAGCATTTGCAGCTGTCGAAACGCATAAATGGTATCTTAAAAAATTTGAAGATTATCCGAGCAATCGTTTCGTCATAATTCCATTCGTTCTCTAGGAGTTGGTAAATATTTGTTTCTCTAGGTATGATTTTGAATATTTTATATTTATAATTTTTTGCAATAAATAATACTCCTCCGGTCCTTATTATAAGACCCAATTTGACTTTTTATTTGGTCCTAATTATAAGACCCAATCTATTTTCTCTCTTATATTTATGCATTTTTTTCCAAGATAATCCTTCTAATAATGATATTTTTAGCCAATATACTTAATTAGCAAAGATATTTTAAGAATAACAACACTTATTTATTATAAATAACCAACTTAACTTACTTCCTTAATCTCCTCAAATAAGTCAATTGGGTCTTATAATTAGGACCGGAGGAGTAGTATTTATTCTTCTAAGAGTTTACCCTGACAAAGCTCTATAAAAACTGCCGTAGCTTTATCCAATAAAATTATTAAAGCTCAAATTTTAGCCAGGTTGATTGGAAAGAAGAATTTGCAACTCGATGCTGATTAAGGTAGAATTGTCATGAATAGTTAAATGGAAAGCATTAATTAGAATAATAAGCAAAAGAATTTTTTTTATTACGAAAGTTGCCCAACTTGATGACTGATTTTCTTTAAAGGTCAATCTCTTCTCAATTTGGTTCTTAATAATGAAGGTATTCAATTTATTTCCTTCAATGTTTTTTCTTTTGTCAATATAATCTAAAAAAGTCAATGTAATGTAAAAGTTAGAGAATCTAGAAACGATCATGCTTGAGCAGATAAACGTGCACTAGCGTATATTTGGTCTCAGTGGTGGGCTCTTCTAGGTAATGCGGTGTAGTTGAGTTCAACTGGTGGTGTATAAAGAGCAAAGTAGCGTAAGCCATGATGCTAAAGTGAGCAAGCATGCGATATGAATGAATAAATATAAGTAAATGTGATTATAAATAATATTCTTCGTGTTCTTAATAGAAGGCTTAATAAACTAATTTGATTAGGTTAAAAATATAAGTTAAATTAGTTGATGAGAATTTTTTTTCGTAAACAATCCTAAACATTTTTCTATTTGATTGTTGTTGGAAAAATATTGATAAAGTTAATTTGAAAAAAATTCATAAATATGTGAAATATGTTTTACATATAGAACTAATATTAACTTATGTAAGTTTTTTTTTTTTATTTGTGTGAGATAATTAGGTTTCAAATTAATGACCTGGGGATTTTTTTTTTTTTTTGGATACAATTATCTTCTATTCTTTGCAACTGCACCATTTAGCTTCTCATTAATTGCAAAATCCGAAACTATCAGATTGAGCCATTCGAGTTTCAATCTGAATAGATTTAATCTCAACCTTCGAGTAATTTTACGTGCATGCTGGGGATAGTGATGGTAAGGTTAGTGGCCTGCCATGTTGTGAGGTGCTTCAGCTCGCACTACACCTCTAGTTCGTCTATCCCTGGTTCCCTAATCCTTATCGCGTCTTAGCTTGTGTCAACAAACTTCATTCTGTGTGAATATAATATTTTTATAGATATTTATGTATCTGCCATTATCTCCCTTATCTCCTAGTATTTTTAATATCTCTCATTGTCTCTATTATCTGTAATTATCTTTTATTATTATATTATTTGTAGATCCTATCAAAATATAAAGCTGTGTCTATAAATAGAGGTCATATATAATGTATTCAGCACCCTTGGATAGAATAAGAAATACTCTTTTGTTATTAATCTTTTCCTCTCTATTATTCTTCTTTATTCATAACATGTTATCAGCACGAAGGCTCTAGAAAAAGTATAATATTTTGATCTTCTCATTATTATACACCATGTTCCATGATTTATTTTCTATCCTCTATACTATTCTACATGAGCATCTCCCCAAATGGCTTGAAGCCATAGTTTAATTTGTTCACCGTGAGCATATGGTAGGGAAGGTCAGCTTGCATGACATAAGCATAAATCATGTTGAGAAGTTTGCACTCCAAAAAGGCTTCATTGCCTTAAATGGTGAGGCGAAATAATGAGGGTGGATTTGTTAGATCTATGAGCACCGAGCACTCCAATGATCTGTCCATCTCGGGCCTCACCGGAGATGTTATTGAATAGAATCTATTTTTTATTTTATGGTCAAAAGTCATAAAACTTTACTTTCTACTTTATAGTCGGAAGTTATAAAACTTTGTTATTCTTTCTCATAGAAGTCATAAAACTTTATTTTTTTTTCCTTATAACTAGAAACCATCAAACTTTGTTTTTTATTTTATGACTAGAAGTCATAAAATTTTGTTTTCTTTCTTATGACCAGAAGTTGTAACTTGGATTTTTCTATTTTAATGACCAAAAGTTATAATTTTGATCTTCTAACATATGGCTAGAAAATATATAATTTTTAACTCATGACCAAAAGTCATTCAAATTTGATTTGATCTTATTAAATGGCTAGAAGCCATGTATATATTTATTTTTGAGAAATATTTATTGTTTATTTGTTAATATTTTTTTATTTTTGATAAATATGATTTTAAAATGCTTATATTTACTGAGACAATATACCAAATTTTATCCTTTTCTCATTTAATTTTTTTTATTTTTTTTTTATTTGTTTTTTTGGTAATTTATGATTCCTTTTCTTTTCTTCTCATTAACGAAGAGCAGTGTAATTTCCATACATGCTAATTTTTTTTAATATTATATTTTTTTGTGGCAGTGCTATCATGTCGAACCTTACAAAATGTGAGTTTGTACTCGACATTACCAGGAAGAACTACTTATCTTGGATACTAGATCTGAAAATTCACTTAAATGCCAATGGTCTGGGAGACACAATTAAGGTAAAAAATAAGGCATCTAATTAAGAAAAGGCTAAAACCATGATCTTTTTATGCCATCATTTACATGAAGGACTAAAAATGGAATATTTGATCATTAAAGATCTACTCGTTCTATGGAATAGTTTGAAAGAAAGGTATGACCACCAGGACACTGTCATTCTTTCAAAAGCTCGTTATGAATGGATGCACTTATGCCTACAAGATTTTAAATTTGTTAGTGAGTATAATTCTGCAATATTTAGAATCAGTTTTCAACTAAAATTATATGGAGAAAAAGTCACTGATGAAAACATGTTAAAGAAAACATTCTCCACATTTCATGCATCTAATGTGCTCCTGCAGCAGCAATACCATGAAAAAAGCTTCAAAAAGTATTTTGAATTAATTTGTTGCCTTCTTGTAGCTAAGTAAAATAATCAGCTTTTAATGAAAAATCATAAATCCCCTCCAACCGAATCTACTCCATTCTTAGAAGCGAGTGTAGTAGTAAATGGACCAACACGTGGTCATAAACGAGGACATGGATGTGCACAAGGCCGTCGCATTGACCGTAGACGTGGTCGTGGTCATAATCGAGGTGGTTCAAATTCCTACTCAAAAAGGGCAAAGAATGATGAGAATCAAAAAAGAAAGACTAGTGGAAGTAATAACCACTCTGAAAATTCATGTTATCGTTGTGATGGGAATGGTCATTGGTCACCTGCCTGTCGTGCACTGAAATATTTGGTTGACCTTTATCAAGAATTGCTTAAAAATAAAACTAAAGGCAACAACAAAATGCCAAGGGTAGAAACCAATTTTGTTGATGAAGAGGGCGATTTTGATTATGGCAAGATGGATGTCACTCATTTGGATATTGCTAATTTCTTTACTGATCCTAATGGAAAGATTGATCACCTGATTGGTGATGGGAATGTTCAGCAATAAATTATTTTAGTGAAGTTAAATTTCTACGACTTAATTTTTTTCCCTCTTTTTCATCTTTTTTTTTTTATAAAGTTTCTACTTTCAATGTTGTTATCTTTCTAAATTAATAAAATTATAAGTATTTTCCTTTTATTAATTTTGTTTTTTTTCCCTTCTCCTCTCTTGACTATGTTCCTTGTAATGAAGAGTGGCTCCCATTTACGTCAATCATGAGGATTTATGTCTTGTTGATAGTGTAACAACTCACACAATATTTAGAAATAAAAAGTATTTCTCTTTTGATAGTGCATTTTACTCAACTAAGTCTAAAAGAAATCTGTTGAGTTTCAAGGATATCCGCAAGAATGGATATCATATCAAAACAACAATTAAGGAAAATCAAGAATATCTTGCTATTACAAAGTCAATTTTGGATAAAAAAATGCACACTAGAAAGATTGCCTGTATTTTCTTCTGGCTTGTACTACACAATTATTAGTACAATTGAAGTACTCATCATTATAAACCAGTAGTTTATAAATGATAACAAATTTAATGTTTGGCATGACCGGTTAGCCATCCTGGGATAATTATGATATGAAAAATAATTGAGAATTCATGTGGACATTCATTGAAAAGTCAACAAATACCACAAGCCAATATTTTCTCATGTAATGTATGTTCCAAGGGAAAGTTAATTGTTCGGTCATCACCAGGAAAACTAGAAAATGAGCCTCTCACTTTTCTAGAATGCATATAGGGAGATATTTGTAGACTGATACACCTACCATACGAACCACTCTGATATTTTATGGTTCTAATTGATGTATCAATAAGATGGTCGCATGCCTATTTATTATTTTCGTGTAACTTGGCATTCGCAAGATTATTGACTCAATTAATCAGATCAAGAGCACATTTTCCTGATTTTCCTATCAAGAAAATATGTCTTGATAATGTTGGTGAATTTACTTCACAAGCCTTTAATGATTATTGTATGTCTCTTGGGATTGATGTTGAACATCTTGTGACTCGTGTGTACACACAAAATGAACTTGTAGAATCATTGATCAAACGCTTACAATTAATTATGAGATCATTACTTATGAGATCAAATCTCCCAATTTCTGCTTGAGGACATGTAATTTTGCATGCAGCAATGTTAATTCGTATCAGGCCAACAAGTTATCTCAAATCCTCCCCTTTACAATTGGTTTTTGGTCAAGAACCCAATATTTCCCATCTAAGAACCTTTGGATGTGCTGTATATGTTTCAATTGCTCTCCCACAACGTACTAAGATGGGTCATCAAAAAAGGATGGGAATATATATTGGATATGAATCTCCTGCTATAATAAAATAATCTAGAACCGTCAACAAGAGATTTGTTTATGGCTTGATTTGCCGATTGTCATTTTGATGAGTCAGTTTTTCCAACATTGAGGAGAGAAAATAAGAAGTTGGAAAAGGATATTAGCTAGAAAGAATTATCACTATCTCATCTTGATCCTCGCACAAAAGAATGTGAACTGGAAGTTTAAAAGATAGTCAATTAACAAAATTTAGCTAATCAATTACTAGATGCATTTACTAATCCAAAGAGAGTAACAAAGTTACATATTCCAGCTATTAATACTCCTATTAAAATTGATGTCCCTGATGGACAACCAATTGTGAATGATTCTAAAGTATGCATGAAGCGTGGCAAGCCCATTGGTTCTAAAGATAAAAATCCTCAAAAAAAAAAGAAGAAGCTAAAAGCATAGATGGCCTAGTCAAGAATAATTTAGATAAGTTAGCAAGTCCAGAAGAGTCATTAGACAATGCTAACATCCCAATTCTCAAAGAAAGTCAGGTACCTAAAATATGTGAAAATGATGAGATTTCAATTAATTATATTATGAATAGGATAAGATGGGACTGAAGTGAAGTCAATGTTGATGATATTTTCTCTTATAATGTAGCGCTCGATGTGATGAATGACAATGAGGATCATGAACAAAAGTCAATTAGTGAATGTAAACAAAAAAAGGATTGGCCAAAATGGAAAGATGCAATTGAGGCAGAATTAAAATCGCTAAAACAGTAAAAAGTTTGTGGACCAGTAGTCTTTACACTTCAAGATGTAAAACTAGTTGAAAATAAATGTGTTTTTGTGTGAAAGAGAAATAAAAAGGGTGAAATCATAAGATACAAGGTACGACTTTTTGCCCAAGGGTTTATACAAAGACCTGGTATTGATTTTGAAGAAACTTATTAACCAGTAGTGGATGCAACTACTTTTCGATACTTGATTAGGCTCACAGTAAATAAGGGGCTCAATTTACATCTAATGGATGTTGTTACAACCTATCTGTATGGCTCACTTGACAATGACATTTATATGAAACTCCCTGAAGGGTTGAAATTGCCAGAAGTATACAATTCAAACTCTCAAGAACGATACTGAATTAAGTTAAACAAATCCCTATATAGATTAAAGCAATCAGAGCGAATGTGGCATAACAGGCTTAGTGAGTATCTATTGAGGGAAGGATATAAAAATGATGCAATGTGCCCATGCAATTTTTATGAAAAGATCAGGAAATGAGTTCATTATAATTGCTGTATATGTTGATGATATAAATATTATTAGAACTCCTAAAGAGCTTGAAAAGGCAGTTAATTGCCTAAAGAAAGAATTTGCAATGAAGGATCTAGGAAGAACAAAATTTTGCCTTAGATCACAAATTGAGCATTTGAAAAGTAGAATTTTCGTATATCAAGAAACTTATACAAAAAAGATCCTAGAATGTTTTTATATAGATAAATCACATCCATTATGTACTCTAGTGGTTGTAAGATCTTTGGAGGTGGATAAGGACCCTTTTAGACCTTGAGAAATTGGGGAAAAACATGATGAAGAGCTACTTGGTCCAGAAGTACCATATCTTAGTGCACTAATGTATCTGGATAATCATACGTGACCTGATATATCATTTGCAGTTAACTTACTAGCAAGATATAGTTCTTCACCAACACGAAGGCATTGGAATGGAGTTAAACACATCCTTCGTTATCTTAAGGGTACAATGGACATAGGATTATTTTATTCAAATGCATCCAAGACCGATCTGTTGGCTATGCAGATGCTGGACTTCAGTCTGACCCATATGTCGGTAAATCACAAACTGGCTATCTATTCACATGTGGTGGTACAACCATTTCATGGCGATCTATAAACCAAACTATATCAGCCACATCATCTAACCATACAAAGGTTCTAGCAATACATGAAGCAAGTTGAGAATGTGCATGGTTAAGGTCCTTAATACATCACATACGAACTACTTTGGCTTGTCTTCTAGTAAAATGATCCCAACAATACTATACGAAGATAATATTACATGTATTACCCAACTAA